GACAGAGCTCCCTTATCACGAAACAGTGGGAAAAGTTATGTAACACTTAATATCCCCAAATTGACCTGAAAGTCATTATGAAACCCAGCTTTAGACTAAAAAAAATTCCGCTACCAAGATCGTTTGCTGTCTGTTCACTGTTCACATTTCGTCTACTTATACACATGCGGAGACTGTAAGGCCTCCTATATTGGTGAAACAAAATCTCACCTCAAAGTACGAGCATGTGAACATATAGGCATATCTATAAAAAACTAGAAGAACCCTCCGCTATCTATCAACACAATACAGAAATGGGACATTCGATTTCTCTCTCAAACTTTAAAATTCTTTCAACAGCCAAATATGGTACTGAACTTCTTATAAAATAAACATTATACATAAAAACTCTACTCCCCTCCCTAAATAAAACACAGTCTTCACTGGATTTAAATCTATTTTAATTATTTCACTTGTGCCTCAGTTTTCATTTTTTCGTGTTATATTTGTATATTCGATTTGTTTATTTCTTATGTATATATATATTTCTGTTGTAATTACAAATATTGTTTGTTTGTTTTGTAACCCTAAGTTACTGATGATGGAATTATGACGATTCCGAAACGTCTAATAAATGCTTCCTGTTGTTACGTTCGTGTTTTGTTTTATCGTTAAGCTACGTTTTCCGAAAAATGGGTTGATTTATAACTATATTTACGATGTAAATGTGTCATTTCTTATTATGTTTGATTTTGTTTTTATCTTAGCTGTTACCGATATTTTCGACTGTAATCCTAATAATATCTTACGAGTTCGTTCAGCTTGTAAGATTTGGATTAGCCCCAAATCAATATACTAAGTTAGTGGTTTCCAAACTTTAAATAGCGCCCACCTCCCCAAATCAGCAAATTTTCCATTACGCCCCTTTCACATTAAAATAATTTTCACAACTAATAACAGCAAAATCAACATTTTCTTTACATGTTTTTAATCATCATTTTTGGAATTAAAAATGCTTGTAAGGAGTGAGTGAATGGAGAGCAAAAAAAGCTTTAAGAGCAAAGTGATAGTTTTGTTAGGTTATCGTTGTCTCCAACTCTTCTGTTTCTTCAGTAGTCATTCTTGGGCTCTTCCGACAAAAGGCTGCCCTCCTTAGCTACCATTATGCGTCCCCCGGGGGGGGGGCACAGTTTGTAAAACGCTGACACACATTATTTTAAGATTATAATTGGCAAAAAGCCCGGCATTGCCAGGTGGTTAGGGCGCACGACTCATAATCTGCGTGTCGCAGGTTCGAATTCCCTTCTTTCCTTCACACCAAACATGGTCGCCCTTTCAGCCGTGGTTGCGTTATAAGGGTGACAATCAAATCTCACAAAAGGTTAGCATTTATTAGACTCGCCATCTTCAATACTTTTTTCGTCGTCGTCTCCAACTCTTCTGTTTCTTCAGTAGTCATTCTTGGGCTCTTCCGACAAAAGGCTGCCCTCCTTAGCTACCATTATGCGTCCCCCGGGGGGGGGGGGAGCACAGTTTGTAAAACGCTGACACACATTATTTTAAGATTATAATTGGCAAAAATCCATGCATTACCAGGTGGTTAGGGCGCACGACTCATAGTCTACGGGTCGCAGGTTCGAATTCCCTTCACACCAAACATGGTCGCCCTTTCAGTTGTGGGGGCGTTGTATATTGTCCCTTTACTTTTCGTGTATGAAAACCATCTAATAAGGAATTTTTAAATTACAAATATTTTAGGCAATGTTTGTCACTCATTATTTTTAACTTGGGATTGGAATTACTCGGTTAATTAACTACTAAGTTATCGCGATACATCTTCAGGCAAGTTTTAAAGAAACACTTATTTGCCTCGTTAGCTATAGATATTAAATAAACGATTTCTCTGTAATTTCGAAATGATTAATAACCATAATATTTCATTTTAAGTATTAAGAGTAATTTTACCTAACGACTTTAAAGGATAAACTTACAGTTACCATAAAATTTTATGCAAATGTCTGAGAAATTAATGTTACCTATAAACAGGCCTTAATCCCTTTAAAACTGTTCAGAAGTTATTAAGGCACTACAAGAACACTTGAGTATAGGAACTGAAATTCATATGAACAGAAATATTATTTGTTTTCTATTTTAATAATAAAGGCTCTATATATATGTGTGTGTGTGTTAATGTTAACTATATTATTCCAAGAAAAATAATATAATTATAGTTTCACTTTTTTTTCCCCTTATAATATATATTTTTTTTTGTCAAAACTTGTATGTTATCCTCATGATTTTCAATACCCACTTCTGAACATCAACAACTGTTGAAAGATGGTAGACTAGTTTTATATTCAAAACATTTTTAGAATATGAAAGCATCGTTTCCAGCACAGTGTTTGTTACATCAACTTAATATTCGTGAAACTCGAGGAACTAGAGTTAGATTTGCTTCTATCAACATTTATAAACATCAACATAAGTTAAGTACGGTAGTATTTAATAGTCGGGATCGACAATGAATCCAAATAATTCACGCGCCGTAAAACCATCCTATCGAATTCCTAAGCAAAAAACGACTATTCAAAGTATTGGTTGCGATATATTATGCGCGTATATACCAATTATATGCTAAAAAGTCGCTAATATTTCTGTTATAACAATTCAAAAGTTTCTAAAACAGTAACTTTTTCGTCTACTACCTACCCGATCACGTCAGCGGGGCTAGTGCCTAGATAGCTCGGACTTTCGCTACAAGATTTCTCCAGCTTACTGGACTGATCTGTGGGTATTCGCTTTTGATATTCCAATAAAAATCCATGTATATACAGGCATAATATAAATGGTTAATATATCATGCACGTACTTGAATATCTTTTTAACCCAGTATATAGCGCTACATATCGATGCATAGACATGTGAAAGTTCTAAAGGAGTATATATCTTATACAGGTATAAAATAAAAAGTAAACAATAGTATTAAAAAATTATGGATTTTAAAATGAAGTAGTGATCCTGCTATAAAAGTAATGAAACAAGAATTAAGACTACAATCACAAATTTATTAAAGCTAATATACACTTATACTTAACTGTATACACTTAACTGTAGGCCAAAATAAAGATTAAATTTGTCATTATGATTTTAATTCTTGTTTCATTGCATTTTATAGCAGGATCCTTACTTCATTTTAAAATTAATAATTTTTAATACTATTGTGCATATAGTTTCCCGAGACCCCGAATTAGCTAAAGTAAGAAAGTCTCAAACTAATGTTCACATGGTCATCATTAAGACAAAGTATGATTTTTTTTTTGACAAATTATCGACACACTGTAAAAGTGTTTCTTTTCTGGATAAGTACTATGGTGTTATTCGAAAGTTTACAACATTAAGTGTAACTGATTGACACTCACTTTCGCACGTACTCATTTCCTTTCACCACAGATAAAAAATCTCTTGTTGTAGCAAGTATGGAATGTGAGAATATTGAGGAATATCTAAAATAGTGGCAGATGGCTTGATCATCAGCGTTTACTTAAGAGGAACGTGTAGCCATAAAATTCGTGCCCTCATACAATCTGGTTAAACATGGTAAAAATACCTCTACTCAGGAGACTCCAGTACACAAAACTATGTAATGCAATCTGGTTAAACTTCATATATAATGAGATATACAGCTACTCAGGAGACTCTAAAACACTATAATAAGGTGTGTAAGCTCTTCTCTGACGATAGGCCAAGTGAAAGTTTCATCTGATCTTTGAGATAATGCATTTATGGCTTCATCTATGGGAACTTTAGTGAATAAGTCAAAGGACACAATTTTTTTACGTTTATATTTGATAACTTGGTAGCAAACGCTGTGGAGCTTTTTACGCTATATTTATTTGAATTCACTACTGATGACAGTCTGTTCACTAAGCATTCAGTCAAAGGATGGTTCTGGCTATTGTTGCAAGCTACTATGGATTTAAAGGATAAACTCTCTTTGTGTAGTTTAGGAAGATCATAGAATCTAAGGGAATTTCAAGCTTCTATCCAGATTTAAGTAATTCTTGTCATATTGAGAGCTTATCCGCCAGAACACGTTATTTGAGAGCAGTATTTACAGAAAAACCTTCCCCGAAAATGTACCCGAATGTGCAGGAATTCAAGAACAAAGCACCTATTTTATAAGCATGATCAACAGTGTGGGATTCGTTCCTTTGTAGCTGAAACTAAATTCTTAAAACTCGACTATTATTCCTTGTTGGCATATATGTTATTTTTCCCATCAAGTATTAGTTTCACAACTTATTGAAATGAATCTCAAAACCGTGTGATATCGCTAAGTTAAGTTTCCGAAATCTCTCCTTATAGTGCATTTTAAATATAAACTTTAACCCTCCTATGGATATAATATCATCGTTTTCATTAAACATACCTTTTCAACTTAACTTACACCAAATTTAGCAATGATTCTCAAATTTGATGAGAAACAATTCATGAATTTCAATTAAAACAGCAGTATCAACAAATATATTCGAGATAAATTGAAATAGTTTTAACAGCTACTATTTTCCAGGCTACTGTACAGAAATTATTTTCGTATAATAACATAAGTCTATTATTAATTATTATTTTCAGAAAACAATATCAATCTAAATATATTTAAAAGAATCAAATTTGAAATGACAATATAAAACTGCAAAAGGAAATTGAACCATAAACATTTTTTAAGTAAAATTAACAATCTTGCGAAACTAATAAGAAAAAAAAATAAAAGCTAGGAAAAAAAATGGGTGTTGTTGAAAGGGTTTTGTCCAATAAATAGATTCATTTAAAAATATGTTATTAATTTTGAAATTCAAAGTTTGGTTCTTGCAATACTTACCTTTATAATCCTCCACATACACACACGCTATTTTTTGTTTTTTTATAAAATTATGAGAACAACAAATTAACCAAACAAATTTTTACTATATAGCAAGCCGAAAGATGGCCCTGCAATATAACAATTGACTGAGCTATAGTGATATATTTTTCAAAACGTTGTGGTTAAAAGAAGTTGACAGACTTCTTTATTTCAGTATTAGGAAAACTAATGCCTGAACTAGTAAAAGAAATCTAAGAGTATAGTGGAACAAATATAGATTTCTAAAATTTCAGATGAAAGTCGTAAGTTTTCACATTTCTCAATCTTTGCTGTTTAACTAATTGATGTAAGTTGTAAGCATGATACGCACTACAGCAGACTGTTGTTGTTAAACTTTACAATGTATTATTAGGCTTCACTAAGACTTGAGTGAAGTTACAACTTACATTACACTTTACAGTACTGATGTTACATTTAGAATTATTACTACAATTTGCCGTAGTTAATATGTTCATAGCTTATGTTATTCACTTATTGTTTATTCAACAGTTGTGGTTTAACTATGGATTTTTTTTAAATTAGAATATGAGGCGTTATCTGTAAGTGTAAGTTACAATCACTGTAAATGTGACATTTATACACATACCTGTACTCCACAGTGTAACAACTTACTACAAATTCATTGTTTTGAACAAGTTATTTTGCTCTATATTTTTTTACCAGTTTTTTGTACAATAATGTTCAGTATTTTAGTATTTATTATATTTTTACGTAAAGGTTTTGCAATTCATCTTTACCAGTCATTATATACTGAGATTTAAAGTTTAAACTCAATCTGTGCAACAGTAATTATAAATTTCATACTCTTCTGTTCAAAAATTGTGTATAATAAATTTAGTGATATATATATAAAATAAGATTGGTAAATAAAAGTAAGATGGTAAAAGTTTTAAGATAGAGTTTAGGGATAAAAATTATTATTACAACATTCTAACTTAAAAGAGGCTTAGTATGTTTAATGGTACTTTAGGCTTAGGAGTAACTTAGTCATATTTATACTCACTAGTAAATTGTAAAACAGGATAAATAAATTGTTTTATTAAATAAATACAATCTAAAAATTAGTTTATTGTTTCTTGGTGTTCTAGAATCAACGTGTTTATTTGAACTTAGATCCATTAGTTTAAATTCAGCTTATACTTTATAGATATAGGTAGATTAAAATATTAATGTTACGTATATTGTTCTAATAAATTAAGTTCTATATAATTAAAGATAAACTTTATTAATTTAGTGTGAAAAAAAAAGCAGTGATAAAATTATATAATTGGTTCTTAAATGTTAAGCTTAACAGTAACAATTTAGATCATTTAGTAAGTTGGGCAAATAAATGGCAGATGAGTTTTAATTATAATAAATGCAAGATAATGCATGTCGGTTATCTTAATTTGAATTATAAGTATAATTTGGCTGGGAATAACCTTAATAGTGTTATGAAGAAAAGGGATCTTGGTGTAATATTAATAGTCGATCAGTCTAAAGTTATCCAAGCAGTGTGCTGTTGCTAGTGGTAGGGCAAATATGATTTTAGATTGTATGTATAGAAATATTGAATACAAGTCTAAAGAGGTTATACTTTCATTGTACAGGTCACTGGTTAGGCCACATTTGGAATAGTATGTTCAGTCTTGGGCTCCTTACCTTAGAAAGGACATTGAATTGATGGAAAGGGTTCAGAGAAGGGTTACTTGAATGGTACCTTGGATGAAGGGGTTGTCATTCAACGAGAGGCTAAATTCTCTCAAATTTTCTCTTGGAAAAAGAAGAGTTAGGGGGATCTGATTGAGGTGTTTAAGATTGTAAAAGGAATTGATAGTGTTGATGTATCATCTTTTTTTTATATTTAACAATGAGGATAGTAGGACTAGGGGACACAAATATAAATTTTAGCAAGGTAGAAGTCATCTTCAGATATTTTTCTAACAGGGTGGTTAGCCTTTGAAATGGGTTGCTTTCAGATGTTGTAGAGGCAGTAAATTTAAGCGAGTTTAAGAAAAAGCTTGATAAGTATATGAAAGAAAAGGGCTGGGTTTAAATTTTTTTTAGTCATTTTAATTTAGTTTTGAGGATGGAACAGTTCCAAAATATTATGTTATGTTATATATCACTAAATTAGAAAACAGGTGAGTGTGGGCTATATATTCTTGTACAGAACAAGCAAATTTCAGGCAATCCATTAGACTGAAACATGCATATCCAGACATTTTGCAACTAACTTATAGATCTTGTACAAACTATTTTTTGGTATTGTGTTGAATCAACTTATGTTTAAGTTGCTGACTTTAAATTATATGTTATGGGACAGAAATGACTCAATTGGCCCATCATGGCCATCAACTCAACTTAGTATTTGTTTTTGTCTTCACACCAGTTTTATTTTTTATTTACACCTTCACATTCAAAGTTGTTTATTTGAGAGGGGTTAATTCTGAAATGACCACAGATTGTTCTGCTACAATATAGCAGATAAGTAATATTACATTATCTTTTACTTATTAGTATTACTGATAATTATTCAAGTGTATTTATGTGCTGATTTTAGTTGGCTCTCAACCATAGTTTCTTTGGAAAGTGGCTTGTCTAAATAGCACATTTGTTTTTGTTTCAATATTTCACAGTACTGGGATAGATTCTTCAAGAAATATAAGTTTAAGATTCCACCTGAGCATTTAGTTGCCTTGAAATCTCAAGTTTAGTCTTTCTTTAATTGTGGCCTGTCTATGTACATCTGGATACAGCCCATCTATGTGTGCTTTAATAGGAGGTTACTCTGCTTTATCATATTTCTCATACTCTTAGAACAGTGTTTCCCAACCTGGATGGTACTGTCCCCTAGTGGGTGTTGTTAAAATTCGGGGGGGGAACAGTAAAGTTTCGAGGGTTTCAAAGTTATATTTATTAAAATTAAACTGTAAGAATTGTAACTGCCTTACAATTTTTATTTTAGCAAAATATTTAATGGTCTAAAATTTATTAGAAGTATACATGAGGTTGGGAAAGACTGTGCATTGAACTTGGTGGAGAATTTTACAAATTAGAATTTGCCAAATACATTCGAGTGGGGTATAAAAGACTGGACCTAGCATTTTTAGTGCTTAGATGGGCAAAGAGTGGAAACCCTGGACATTGAGAAAATTTTATAGTGTCAGTGGAGGTAAGTATTATTGGAAATACATTTTGAGTTAAAAAAAAAAAATGTTAACTTGGAACATGTGTTTATTTCTCCCAGCTTAATGAAACGTCTTTTAACATATTGCCAATCATGCACACAAAGGCAATGTTTAATGACCAGAAAACTTGTTCAGAATTTACCATATCTTATTATTTAGTAAGACAAAGTGCCTTTCCCTTTAAATATGAAAATCTTGGGATTACTCTTTTGCCCTCGTAATAATAAAACTTAATTTTAAGCAGTACAATAAAAAATACTTTTTTGGGGGGAGTAAAAACAACACATTTATGTATATTGTACCACATTATTTTTGAACATGAACATATGTTTTAGTAACCCAACAATGGATGAAAGAGAGCAGATAGAGGTTGATATTGCTCAACTTCAAACATTAATTGAAGAAGATGACGATGATGATTGTGAAGAGTATGAAGACTCCCAAGTCAAGTTTCAGCAATATCAAGATTCTTGTCAGTTTTTTTTACCCGGGCAGACCTCAGAATGGAATCAGTTACCTCATACTTCTTCAGGTATAATGCTATGTGATTTTTTTACTAACTGCTTTTATATTCAAGTACATCAACAAATAACCAATATTGTAAATTTTATTTTAACTCAACTGTAGAAACATCAACAGTCATACCTTTTTAATTGATTGCAAAACATGTTGCTTTTGTTGCTCCTTAATAAATCAAACACTCAAGTGTAAAAGGCCTTAAGGTTAAAGTTAGTGTTAAAGTTCTTAGTTTTTATTTTAATTTATTGTTATAAATATTGCAGTTTATCATATTAGTCACTGCTCAGATTTCCTAAGTATTTTGTACTGAAGATGAAGGATTGCACCCACTTATTTGTTTCTCAGTCCTTTACTGAGTGTTCTAGAAGTAAAAAAAAATAAAATCACTCATTATGATGAAAGATATGGGTCCTGCTGGCAGTGAATGATATTAAAAAAACAGTCATTATTGGTTTGAACTTTGTACAAGTAGTTACATTGATTGGCCAGTTTTGTACATGCACATACAACATTAGCATAAAACCAAACTATTTATAAATCACACCTTCTGCTAATTATTAGAACTTCATTTTGGCTTATAATTAGGATTCTTTTTTAAAACCTCCCCCATATGATTATTTTGGTTAAGTTATTTTTACATTTATTATGTGTTTATTGTATAATACTATTAATTTTTTTTTTTTTGCATGAAAAGCTCTACCTTATAATTGACTAATTTCATTCATGAATTTGATTTTTTGTCATATTTTTGATACAAGCTAGTTGGTAAAATTTCATTTTCTTGCATTTTAAAATAATGCAATAATATTACAGGTATTATCTGTTATGTCTTTTCAGAAACATCACAATATAAGGCTGGCAGTAATCCAACATCAGCTACTCGACAGAGCATTATGCAGGTATTATTAGAGAGATCTTTCTTTGATAATAATCAGTGTTTTGTTTTACAAATACTTATCACCTTGTTATTATTTTGTGCTATTTTCATTAAAAATATACTTGTATTCAAATCTTATTACAATACTTAACCCATGTTTTAGATACTGGTTTTTCCTTTCAGTTCTGTGATCCTTTGTTATTAGGCTATAATTTACAGTTGAACATACAGCACCTAAGAAAGGGAAAATAATATATTCATGATCAAATCCTCAAAGCCAGCCCATATTGTTCAAATATTTATCAAGTCTTCCCTTAAACTCTCTTAAATTAGCTGCACATGAAGACAACCCATTCCAAAATCTAACCATCCAGTTAGAAATGTAAAGCTATCATAGTTCAAGATGATTCCTACCCTTCCAAGATTTATATTTTTGTCCTTTAGTCCTACCATTCTAACCTTTAAGTACAGTAAAAAGGTGATTCATTGGTACTTCAGTTCCATTAGCAATCTTGTACGCATCAATCAGTTTCCCTCTAACTCTTCTTTTCTCAAGATAAAACAGTTTGAGATATTTTAATCTGTCCTCGTATGACAACCTTTTCATCTCGGGTATCATCTTAGTAGCACTCCTCTGAACAGTTTCCAACAATTCAATGTCCTTCCTAAGGTGAGACACTCAAGACTGAACACAATATTCCAAATGTGGCCTAACCAGTGACCTATACAATGAAATTATAACCCATGTAAACTTGCATTCAGTATTTCTGTAGATAGAACCTAATATCCTATTTGCCCTGTCAATATCAACAGTATATTGCTTTGGTGGCTTAAGATACTGATCAACTAGAACACCAAGATCCTTTTCCTCCTCAACACTGTTAAGGTTATTCACATCCAAATTACACTCATAATTCAAATTGTGATGCCCAAAATGCACTATCTAGAAATTTATTATAATTAAAAGCCATCTCCCATTTATTTGCCAAATTCACCAAATAATCCAAATCCTTTTGTAAAGCAACATCATCCTTTTTAATATCATCAGCTAATTTAAATAATTTATTGACCAGTTCTACATCAAAAATAGCAAAGATTTTAACATTGAGACCTGAGGTACCTAACTCGTGATATTAATCCAGTTTGACAGAACTTCATTTGTAAAAACCCTCTGGTTTCTTCCATCCAGTCAGTTTTCTATCCAATTTATGCCCCAAACCTAAGTATTGTAATTGAAACTTATATCAGCTAGGCTCTTTTCTTTCTACCTTTTTTTTAGCCTATTTGAGCTTTATTTTTGTAACATTTTATATTGATATTTTTCATCATTGGCTGGCATTGCAACTAAGATTCTTTAATTCCCAGTATGAAGATGATAGATCAGAACTGTTGTCAGAGAGAAGTAGCATGTTTACGAGTGATGGGAATTTAGAAACTTGCCTAGCTCTAAACTTGGCTTACCAAGAAATCACACAAGAAACGATAGATGAGGTTGTACTTTTGCTAGAAAACAACAGAACAAAGCAAGTAAGTGCAGCTGAATAATATGGAAAAACATTAGATTACTGAGACCTAAACGTAAAGCATAAAAAGTTTGTTGAGAGCTGAAAAAAAAACATAACAGGAGATAATGAATAGTGTTTTAGCAGTTAGAAAAAAAAACTATTTGAATAACTTGGAATGTAAATTTACAAGTTATATAAGAATGAACTGAATAGAGGGCACTACTTGAGTCTGTAATTGATTCAGATGTGTTTAGGAAAACTATTAAAAAGATATACATTAAATATGCTTTTCAAATACCAAAAATTCACATGGCGTGTTTCAGAGGATTCTTCAAGACGAGATGAAAGATTCCATGAAGAAAGGACAACAATCTGCAGAAGGGAGGACATTTCGTGATCGTTCATCTGTCTTATTTTTTGCACCTTATTTCAAAGATAGTACAGGAAGAGTAAGTACTTACATCTTGTTTCTTTTATGTAATATTCTTTATTATATCTACGTTAGATGGAAAGATACGAAACTACTCGTAAACGTGAAAGTGGGTATACGTCGTAGATAAAGTTTTCATGTCAACAATACATTATAGATGTGTATCAAGTTGGAAAAAGTTTGTTTAGTTGGTTTTATATTATAGTATTATTGATTTGTACTTTATTAACATATTGATAGTTTTCAAAGTACTGAACAACTTTGTTTAACATAGACTTGTATAAAATACAAGAAGTTATAGAACTGAACTAGCTGACATGATAAAATTTTAGGTTGTACAGATCAAATATAATTATAATTCGTATCAATTAAATCAGTAATTTAAGTACTAACAAACTTATACAGAATTAAAACTTAAAACAACCTGTTACTGCAGGGAATAAATTTTTTATTGACCACAGTACATTAAAGGTCCTGTTTATGTATAAAACAAATTATTGAACAGTTCAACTTGATTAATAAACAGATTACAGTTAGTATTGTTGTTGTTATCAGAAAAGACTGAAAAAGTTGTCACAATTTTCCAAGTTGATAGGTTTTTGTACCTAACTTTATAACAATTGTTTTTGAATTACATTATTTTAAACTTTTGTACATGTTTTAACTATATTTTGTATAAAGTTCTTTTATTGCAGTGTTAATATCATACTATAATGTGAACTATCATTTTTCTAAAAACATCTTTTCTTGAGGTTTAAATTACAGAAAATTCTATTGGTTATATATATATATTACCAAGATATTTTAGTTAAAAATGAAAAACTGTACAGTGCAACTTCTTTAAATGAAGTTTTTGTGCTAAGTGTATCTTTGTACTCGTTTTATATTCTACATCTTTTATATATCATAGTTTCTGATGTGCTGTTGAAATATTAACAGATTATTTAATTAACTAAAGTATCAGTTAGTAGCTGATGTTTTAAATTACTTTCTTTCATAACTTACCAGTGTGCACCTCCCAATGAAGACACTTTAATAAAGAAAGCAAATAAAGAAATCACAGCATATCTGCATCCATCTCGGCCGTGTAAGTTGTATTCTGTAATCTAGTTTTTATTTCATATAATAGTATGACATGCAAGTCAAATTACAATCACTTATCCTAATACCTGAAACATGAATTTGCTAAAAGCAAGAACTGACTGTAGAGAGTTTAACTGTTTATTTATATATATAAAGATGAAATGTGTGTTTGTTTGCACCCTAACTCCTCCAAATCTATTGGGCCAATCTCAACCAAAATTTGTATGTAAACACTGAACTATTGGGAATGTCCTAAGGGGGGTCAAAATTGAATGTAACCCTATTTCTATTTCGTAAAGCCTGTTTGGTTAATTACTCCCAGCCTATTGAGTCAATCTCAAACAATCTTGGCAGGTTGATGCTTTATACAGTGTTGAATGTTCTAAAGGAATTCAAAGTCAAAGTATGAAAGTTGCTGGATTGTTTCTCAAACAACCATGCTTTTCTCATGGTCAATAAAATGTAGGGTGTTCAAGGGTTGGATCACCTCAAAATCTTTATTTGTTGGTAGATGGAAACAAACTGCAAATGTTGTTTATGAAGAAGCTTTATTAAAATTTTAAGATAAATTTTATGTTCAGTTATTACTTTGAAATATATGATTGCTGTTAAACT